CATACCTGATCTTAGTATTGCTTCATTTGCTAAGCAGAATATGAAGCGAAGGGATTGATATGAAGCGACCGCGGTGCTGCATGGATATATGAGTACATACGTGCAGCCGTACCTACGTAGCGGTCATTGGCAAGATGTCCTACGGGAAACTCGTCCGAAATCGCTTTTGTTATGTTATGCGGTTACAGTTGAAGTTATTTGTTGTAACTTTTGTTGCTACCTTTGTTGTTTTTATGAAAGTTTTGTTCTGTGCTTTTACTCGTTCTACACTCCATTCCTAGGGACATGAGCCGGACCGATCGATATGCGGCTCGCACGCTCGGCCAGAAATCTTCCAGCTGGCCGAGCGCCCTTCTCTGAGCGTAGCGTCCATCTCTGAAAGGAGTGTTGGGGAGACGAGCGGAAGGAAGAAGAGTTGCGGATGGAAGAACTCGCAATATATGACGCCATACGGTCTCGCCCTTGCCATGCAAGCCCACCGCCGTCGCTGTCATCTTTACCTAGAAGCCATCGATGAGGCCACTGGAACCATGTTCGTAAAACCAGCGCAATTTCCATGGCCAGTGAAATACGATGTCGGAGCATACCCTACAATTGCGTTGTCGATGCTGAAACATGTTCGGGTGGCTGGCGCATCGACTGTCGCTGAACAAGAGGTATTTCTCGCTCTGCCCTCGGCGTTCGGCAGAGTGCACTCCGAAGTAGGACTACGATGAGAACATGACTGTCTATGTATATGAGAGCTGGGAACTCCTAGCCCAGAAGTTGATAGAAACGAAGACTGTGACGGCCATTATAATAGTGTGGCCAGATACGATGCCCTCATCAAGATCTATGAGGCAGATGATCGTCGCATTGGAACGGCATCTTCAGCCAGGCGGAACGCTGCTATTCTTCCCCAGCCCCTACGAAGATAACAACAGGAAAGAGTGGACGCGCATGGGAGAAGTATGCGCAGAATTTGTGCGTGTCATTACGAAGGAGGACCGTTACTTTGAGGCCATGGTTCGCGACACTACAGTGAAGTGCTGGAGTCTTCGCCCACACTCATCCCGCCGTCTGCATGGGGACGGATCCTCGACACAAGAAGGCTCCCTTTATAGGCAGACAAATCGTACTCTTTTCTGGAGAAGTTGCGGATCACGGTGGGGGACGTGTTGAAGCTGAAAGCGTTCGGACCAGCGTCGCCAGAGCTGAAAGAGCGGCGCCGGCAGGAAAAGCTGGCCCGAGCGAAACGCCGGCAAGAAGAATACAAGCCCAATTTTTTCGTCATGCCGTTCATTCGTTTTCGTTTTTTCTGAGCGAAAGCACTACTCGCTGGACCTCACGTTTCAACAGCCTCGTGGTCATCAGAAGGGAAGAGACAGGAGGGCTAGTCCGCCGGAGAGAAAGTGTAAAAGAAAGTCTGGGGGGAAACACCACTAGGTCATCATAACATAACATGCCTCACCATAACAAGGAGTCGTCCCGACTCTGTCGGGACGACTGTTGTGGTGAGGCATGTTATGTTATGCTACTGTACTGTTGTGGTTAAGTTGAAGTTATTTGCTGTGACTTTTGTTGCTACCTTTGTTGTTTTCATGAAGGTTTTGTTTTGTGCTTTTACTCGTTCTACACTCCATTCCTAGGAACATGAGCCGGACCGATCGATATTTGGCTCGCACGCTCGGCCAGTCGATGCCTGGTTCCCGCCAAGTGTGACGTCACCCCTTTGAATGGAACCAATGGCCAGCGGCACTTCCTGTACCCCTTTGAGCCCCTATGTTAGGGCCGGCCATTTTTAAGAAGATTCAGTCTAAGCTAGCGTAAGCTAGTGAGTAGTGTCCTCGGACACTACTGTTTCAATAAACTTGTCCGCTGCGCTCAACCCGGAGCAGCACCAGTCTCTTCTCAAGTGTTTATGAGCGAAAGCTCTTCCTTGCAGATTTTTGGCTGTTTTACCCCGTTTTTTCGTCCTTCCCCACTATATAGCACCCTGCTAGCATTTTAGACCGGATATAAACTTATCGTACCATATGCCTTTGAGGCCTTCTAGCAATATGGTGGACTACGAAATTGTTAGCCGAGTGGCAAGCGCCGGATAAACCGTTACTATCCGACACTACCCCGCCACTGTGCAGTAATATCGTTTTAAGTTGACGAGAAAATGTAAGATTCTACTCAGTGAAAAGACTAAAATGCACAGGTTTCCTTCATTTTAGTCAGTCATGTCAGTCATACACTTGCAAAAGCTCACTTCACTTCGAAGTGTCCATTGATAGTGACGGTTGTTGTCATAGCGTCCTTCAAACCTGGTCCCAAGTTGTAGGTGACATTGAGTCCTCCTATACTGAAGATAAACTGAAGGATAATCCACAACGTTTTTAGAGCTTGAACAACAAAGGCAAGTCGGCAGTAACGTAATGACATCAAAAACAAAAATCTGCTGCTTCGCTTTCGTCACAGCTAGATTCGCTGCGTACGACAATGGCGGCATTAAACGCGATTTTTTTGAGAAATTACCACAATTGTTCCTTCACTATCCTCGTCACTCTAGCCCTCAAACATTGCGTTGTCCCATGAGCATTGACGTTTTTTTCAATTAAAAATTTTGACTGCTAAGTGGAACATTTCAAAACTGAGTTCAGAATCATTCGACGGAGGATTCCTCATTTTATCAAAATGTTTAAACAGTTTTGGATTCCAGTTCGACTTTTGCCAAGTTCTGAGTCATCCTCGGCAAAAGTAAGCATGGTCAAGAGCTTCTTCTTTTGACATACATTCAAAGTGCTAAAGCTGCTAACTGCTCGATGGATTCGCGAGGGTTTGGCTAAAAGTGCCAAGATGGGGACCTTCCATCAGGGCACATTATAGGTTGGGGATTCCGGTCGAGTCCGTGCTACCCCCCCCCCGCACTCTAGTTTCTCCTCTGCTATGTTCGAGTTGCCCAGTGGAGGAGGGAGGTGGGTATGGAGCGGGTATATAGTACATGTGAAACAGTAGAAAGGCGAACAACCGGCAGGAATCTTCCCAATTTCTCTCAGAAGGCAAATACGACCCCCCCTCTCCCAAAAACGAGCATTACGACTCCACTGTAGCGTCCGTTAAACAAGAAAGACAAGCACATCATACACTATCAAAAAAGCCTTCTTAGAAATATAGACCAACCGGTCCCTCCAGCAACCAAATAGGACCACCCCTGTTGAGGAATCCCCAAACGGATGTGTTCTAATCTCCGTCAGGTGGGCTGATTAGTGATTTCATGAAATTCAATGTTGACGACGCTAATTTCCCAAACATCGGGTGGGCTCATAAGTATCGGGCCTTTTCCAATCGAAATTTTGTGCGATGAGTTGGCAGAGGTATTTTATATGTTCTGACAGGGGATATTGTGCACTGCAACACTGCATCAGTTTTTTAGTTACATCTGTTTGATTTCTGTTGTTTTCAGGTTATTAATATGGAATGAGATGAATAAAAAATCAACATTTTCGACAACTCCTCCTCTTTGCTTTCAATCGAGGCGTTGAAATCAGTGAAGCTGTCGTCGATAGGCCCAGCTTGCTCACAAAAATCCGTGCAGTACAATGACAGAAGTGGCAAAGAGAATTAAATGCCCC